AAACTGCAATCATCTTAGGTTGTGAAGTTAAGGAGGTATATCTGTTTTAAATAACACCATGTATGATTTTCAGTTTCAATTCAATTCAGTTTATTTATATAGCACCAACTCACAACAGAAATCATCTCAGGGCACTGAACAGAAACATTCATATATAAAAATGATAAGTTAACATTGTTTATCTGAGGAGCAGACTGTTTTTGCAGAACTCTCATCTTGAGCAAGCGTGAAGGCGACAGTGGAAAGGAAAAACTCTTAGGCTGCTGTAAAGGTTCAAGTTCAAATGGGGCATTTGCCTGACCAAAAAATATAAATACACTTGAGATAATTTTGTCCAAATGTTGATTAATGTAGTTATCACCTTGCTGCGGTGTGATCAAATGCATCTTTTCCAACATTTCTAACATTGTTCTTAGCTGTAATAAGGCTTTGATGCTTGTAAAACACCATCACTGTATGTGTGGGTGGGGCTTAAAGCCTGAGCTATCTCAGATGTGATGACATAAACTGCACACTGAAAGACCTTTGCCATGAACCCTGACGTTGGAGGGGGACCGACATTCCCTCTAGATGGGTTCGTGTGTAAGATTTTAGTTCCGCCACTCAACTATTTGAGCAAAACGTTGCCCTTAGTGAAAACTTAAAATGCACCTCAGATATTTTTTCAGGTGTTGCCTCTTGTTGGTTCACAAAGTTCTTACGTTGCTGCTGGTGTGGCTGTTGTGTTACTTTCTGCTGCTTCCTTCTGCCGGCGTCACCACAGCGAGCAAACTTGCACCAAAGATTTGCCAGTAGTTTTACTCCAGATGCCGTTCCTGATGCTACCATGGACTCAACCATGCAGCATCAAGATTACGAGACCACGTCACTGACCACCAAGCATCCACAGCTCCTTCTTACCTATAGCTGCTGAATGTTCAAATATTAACTTTACTCATGTTTTATTAGCTATAATTAGTTATTTCATGCTTAATATACATGTCATATTTTGCACTATGTAGGAGGTGGGACTTGTATACTCCACAAGACCAAAGAAACTGTTTATTTACTCAAGGTGTCAAGAACAAGGACAAAGTTTGTTCTGGTCTGACCTTTCATACTTAACAAGAAATTAAAGGATACAACTCATGGTAGTATTAATAAATGTGGAAAATGTCAAACATGTCTTTTTTTTTTCTTGCAACTGTGTGGGAGAGATGGGTTTCTCAGTTCTTGCTGAATATACAGTATGTACATCAGCCACACTTCATATCTCACGTCACTGGTGCTCAGAAGGTCCCAAAAATACACCATAGCTTCTGTAAACTGGGTCCTGCTTACCTTAATTTCTAACAATGAGAAGAGGCAGGGACATTGGGTTTAGTAAGATAAAGTCTGTGTGCACATTTTGGCTCAAAAATATAGCATGGCAGAGGATGTAAACTTGATATTGCCAGTTTCAATTTAAAACAATAAACGGTGGGGGAGATAATTTGTTTATCTTCTATATGTTGACAGGTTAAACTATCCATCCATCCATTATCTTTACCCGCTTATTCCTTTTTGGGTCACGGGTATCACTGGTGCTCATATCCAACAGTCACTGTGTGAGAAGGAGGGGACACACTGGACATGTCTCCAGTCCATCACAGGGACACATAGAGACAAACAACCATTCACTCTCTCACTCACACCTAGGGACAATTTAGATTTACCAGTCAGTCTAACATGAATGTTTTTGGTCTGTGGGAGGAAACTGGAGTATCTGGAGAAAACCCGCACATGCACAGAGAGAACATGAAGACTCCACCCAGAAGGGTTCCAGATGGGATTTGAACTGGAAACCTTCTCAATGAGAGTCAACAGCTCTACCAACTGCACCACCGTGCCACCCAATCCTCTAAGAATTAAACTCTATTTCTCCTTGTCAGAGAGCTACTGTATATCTGCAACAGGTAAGGTTCATAATTCATAATTCAGGTTCATAATTTTTAAACAGAACCCGCTTCAAAAAGGCAGACATATATTTTATAGCCAGAAGAGGTTCAGTAAAGTACTGTGATGTAGTTATGTATGTCTTTATATTAATTATGTCCCAGCTAGGCTACTGTAATGTGTTTTATGTTGGGGTCCATCTGTTGTCCCTTTCACGTCTCCAGCTCATCCAAAATGCTGCAGCTCGGCTCTTAACAGGAACTTGTAGATTTGAGGACATTTCACCAGTTTTGTCCTCCCTTCATTGGTTCCTTGTACATGTTTGAACTGATTTTAAAATTCTCCTGTTGACCTTTAAGTTCATAAATGACCTTGCACCCTCACATCTCTCTGACCTACTTCAACTCCTTCTTGGGAGTTGCTGAGATCATCTGAGCAGCTGCGTTTGATTGAAGCTCAATTATTGGCCCTAAACATGGGAACAATCTGCCCCTCAACATTAGCCCCCTTCACTCCCTGCTTTTAAATCTCTCCTAAAAACACACGTGTTTTCACAAACACAGTATGATTTGATTTAGTATTTCATATGTTTTTTCATATTAACGTATGTTTGACCGAGCTAAAAAGTTATTGTCAAAAATTCTGAATCACTTTGGTATTGTGTCCCCAGTTATATATTTAACAAAATAGGTGGTCTAAAACTAGCTGATTTCAATATACATAACTTACCCATCAAACTCTCTGAGTTCCATAAACAAGTATTATTATACTGGAAAATGCTCTACGTACATAATTACTCACCACACTCCACTATCATGGAATAACAGATTCAGATTATATTGCAATAAGTCATTATTTTACAAAGGTTGGATGGAGAAGAACATTTGGTCTGTTGTACACTTAATGGATGCTAATGGTTATATGTTAAACTATGAACAATTATGTGTGGAATATAAATTCTATCCCCCAAAGTTGAATTTACCAAATTACTTAAAGCATACCAAAACAATTTATTAATCAGATTCAAAATATAATAGCATATCATCCTATAACCCTACAATTACCCACTCTATCTATTAATTGAATACCATTTACTGACAAAAAATTAAAAATCAACAGCCACACAATTAGAAACTGTCTAAATGAAACTTTATTCCCTGGGAAAATAAATAAAAATAACATATTTTGCAAATTTAGAAAAAAAAAAAAAATCCATTGAAATGTTAAGAACGCTATATTTAAAAATCCCCAACCAAAGGCTAAAGAAACACACTTTAAAATTTTAAATGCAAGTTACCCCTCCAGAGAGCTACTAAGAACTTGTTTTAATATTGATGATAATAAATGCTCATTCTGTGAACAGGATGTAGAAACAATAGACCATATCTTCTATAAATGCAACAAAACCAAAATATGTTGGAATCACTTAGAAAGGTGGATCACACTGAAAATTACATTTCCTGAATCTATTTCTAGAGATATGGTAACATTTGGAGTATTATTGAAAAACAAAAACAAAAAATGGAACTCTGTTGTAATCTGATATTTTGTCTGGCAAAATTCTTTATTCATAAACAGAAAGTGCTAAAATCAGCCAAAATTTTTACAAATTTTAAATCTGAATTCCAATTATATTTGAAATCTCTGAAATACATTGAAACATATGAAGACCTGTATGAAATGTTAATGGAATTGCCCACTAATGCAGGCTAATCCTAAAATATATACCCACCTTGTTGTTTATTTTTTCTTTTCTTTTTTTATTTTATTATTCTTTAATCAGTTATGCTTTGATGTTCCCATATCTAAGTCTGCCTCTAGTATGCCCTTTTTAGATTTACACTATTGTGCCATACTTTTTTTTTTTTTTTGATAAATAAAGTTTTCTTTACAAACACACAGTTCCCAGACAGACTCAGGCATAGATATTAACACTAGATCCCTCATTGGCTGCTGCGGCGCAGGAATTTCGGCCGCCATCTTGGAGCGGTCGTCCTTATTTGGTTAAAGCAGAAGATGTTTCAGTCTCAGCACTTCGCAGCTTATTTCTGTTCAAATCAACGGACTGCTGACGTCAGGTCTCGGGGGATAACTTTTCACAAGTAAGATGAACATATTATTGTTAGTATTTTGTGAATAGAATATTACTGTACTGCATTTATGTCCACCAGCTGATGTGATGTTCAGTGTAACACTATGTTCAGAACATGTTTTTTTTTTAACTTTATTGAACTACTGAACATACAGAACAAAAGAACACAAATAGAACAACAAATGACAATCTCAAATTACAATGATACATATAAACATATACAAATATCTACAATCATACCTCCTAAGGTCAACATATTCTTAAACGAATTATCATATCAACCATCATAAACTTAAATTTAGGTAATAATACTATTTGAGAGTTTGCAAATAATATAGTACAGTAAATTAAACAACTAACTATTTATCTAAGAATCTACATAATTACTAAAATAATTTGTCAGAGGGCTATATTATCTGAGCGAGGTGATCAGAGAGCTTTTTTGCTTGTGGTTTTTTAGCACTGTCTGATGAAAGTTTTAACAACTGGAGTTCTTGTTTGAATACAGACCATAATGGTTTAGACTTGCCATATCTGCATTTATGTATATAGAATTTTAATATTATGATAATGTTATTGACAAAGTATTCATCTTTTTTTATTTTCAGATACATATCCATATAATAAATTCTGAACGGAGGAGTCTTTGTTCATAGATTTGATGGATGTTCAGAACATGTAATGAAGCTGACTGAGATCTGATGTGTTTATATCTATGGACTCAGGTGTTCCATTTCCTGATGTGGAGGAGGAGTCTGGGTGAGGAGGAGGGGTCTGGATAAGGGGGAGGAGTCTGGGTGAGAAGGAAGTGTCTCCACAGATTAATCTCCTCCATAGTGAGCGTGTCTTGAACCACCAGATTTCTACATTAAAAGTAAAAAAAAAAAAACGAATTAAAGAACATCTCGCGGGGGAAACCAGCTGAGGATTTATCTCGTGTTCTTCTGTCCAGGCTGAGGCGGGGCAGCAGTATGCATTCAGACTGCAGGCTGCTATGGGCAGAGCGGTAATGGTGGGCAGGGGGCCGACAGGGGCCGGGGTCCTCGTCCTGTCGCTTCTCATCATCCTCACCGCCGAGAGCTGCCGAGCTCAGAAAGGTTTGTTCCTACACAGCTGCGGGCTCACCCGGTGTGACCACAGACGATTTAAAGTGTCCAGTCGCTGTTATTGTGTGCAGTAAACCTGCCTTACATGGCCGTGTGGACGTGGAGTTAACCCCGCTCAGGGATGCCCCACAGCGGGCTGTTTTCAGGCTAACAGACGGTTGGAGGTGAACCGGGCGAACCGGTTCTAAAACCTAGCTTTGTCCAGCTAACGTATCGCTTTGCTGCTTTTTTTCTCTCTTTTTGTAGCCGGATTTCTCGACGAAGCTAACACTAAAACTACTAAAAAGCTCATTAAATGTAAATATCATTGTGTGTTTACACCAAAGTGTATCAAAAAGGTAATATTTATTTATTTATAAGCGCTAAACTCAGGTAGCAGTCCAATGTAAACACGTGTCAGTTTATTGAACACTGATGATAAAACATAAATGCTCTCAATATTGAGGCTCTGAGTCCACTTTGGAGATAATGTGGCCTTTAGTTGAGTATAAATCATGCAGTTGTTCAGTAACATGAGTCGGTGTGTTTTTGTCTTGTTCATCTGGATCATGTCCACTGAGAGGCTCTTGCATAACTCCAGACCCTCAGAACATCCACTTTAGCACCATGAAGAGTGGCTGCAAGCTCTGAAGGCCATAACATCAGAAAACACATAACCACTGAGCTATCTGACAATTTACAGCCCATCAGAAACGCATAAGCACGAACAATGCTGTGTTAAATTAAGATTTAAAGCTTTTAAATGGTTTCAGGGCTGACTTATGTAATGCACTTATTGAAAATAATAATGCTGTGCGCTGAGCTCATTGTTTTGGCAGGAATCGAATGTCGATGGGACAAAAACAAATGTTAAAGGTTTGCTGAAAGTTATAACCATTTTTTTTAGCATATAAAGTAACAGATAAAAATAAAAAAATCAAGTAGTTCCCAATTTATCCAATCCGTTATCTTTACCTGCATCCTTTTCGGGTCGCGGGGTCACTGTGCGAGAGGCGGGGGGACACACCCTGGACAGGTCTCTCAGGTCCATCACAGGGACACATGGAGACAAACAACCATTCACACTCACTCACACCTAGAGACAATTTAGAGTTTCTAATCAGCCTAACATGCATGTTTTTGGTCATGGGAGGAAACCGGAGTACCTGGAGAAACCACGCATGCACGGAGAGAACATGCAAACTCCACCCAGAAAGGCCACCGGCCGGGATTTGATCCGGCGACCTTCTCGCTGAGAGGCAACAGCTCTACCAACTGCACCACCATGCCACCTACTTTTTCAAATTAATAACACTTGAATATTACCTTCAGCTCATCGTGCCAGATGTTGAAGTCACACTTTGGCTACGTTAGAAGTATCTATTAAGAACTAGTTGTTGACTCCACATTGCAAGAAAATAAGTACATTTTCCACAAGAGTTTCACTGAATTCTGAGTGTTTACAACCAGTCATCCAGTGAGCCATGTGACTGTGCTTTGAGCAGCTAAATGTGTGCACAGCTTGCAAAACTGTTCTAGCCTGTGCATATTATCTTGTTGCCCACCTCCATCCACATTGTACCCTGGTATTTCCCAGTTTTTATGTTTTAATTTGCTGAAGTACACTTTAGAAATAAAGATAAGCTGATTTAGATAAGTTTTTTTCATGGACAGCATGGTGGTGGAGTTGGTAGAGTTGTTTCCTCTCAGAGAGAAGGTTGTCAGATCAAATCCTGGCCGGGGACCTTTTCTGGGTGAAGTTTGTATGTTATCTCCGTGCATGTGTGGGTTTCCTCCCACAGACTAAAAACATACATGCTAAGCTAATTGGCAACTAAATTGTTCACATGTGTGAGTGAATGATTGTTTGTCTCGGCCTGTCTGGTTCTGTGATGGATTTACCTGTTCAGGGTGCACAGACTTCTGGACATGGGCACCAGTGATCCCAGTGACTCAGAAAGGAAGAAGCTGGTAAACATGATGGATAGCTTATTGATTATTGACATGGCTCTTAGATTTGGACATTTAGGGCTGCACAGGAGCCGTAGAAGACGTCAAAGCACAGCTCTAATAGTCTCCAAATGTTGCAGACCAGTGAGATATGGCCAGTTAACTATGCAGTGAATCTATATGCTTAAGGGAGGTCACAGTTGCACTCATTTCAATAGTAGTTTGTTTAAATGCATTGTAACAGTCTTGCTCCCATCAACATCAGAGGCTTGTTCAGATGTCTGAGTCGTCTTGTTTTGTCTCGTAAGCAAGGTCAGTTGTGAGCTGGTGCACGTTTTAAAGTCTAATAATCTGTTTTACATATTGAACTGGTGCTGACTCACCATTGGCATCCTCAGTCAATTGAGTGTGGACAGGAGGATGATGCTAATGGACACTCAAGAATCTAAGATTTTTATTAAATATCCTTCCAGCTTCTAACGTTCAGAAATGCACAGGAAATGAAGCCCCTAATGAGAAAATCAAGACAAAACTTAAAAAAAACTGATGGAGGACTGCTAAGGAAGCACACGGATAGATCAGCCAATCTGATCAATGCAGTTCATTGTTTTAAGCCCCTGCATTGATTAAATGTCTAAAATGAGCCCTCAGATGGAAACTTTGTGTGCAATTTGATCACAACAGGTGGAAAATATAGAGCTCCAAATCATTAAACTTGTCACTTTGTATTCACATGTTGTACCCAGGCATCACTGATGAGGGTATAAATCATCTACCATCACCCAAAGATACATTAGGAAACAAAACATTGGCACATCATTTATTTGAAAACGTATACACACGTCACTGTTAAGGTATATATCAGCAGGTATCAGTCGAGTCTGAACCAAAACGACGGTGACTCGGAACACACCTAACTACTTTTGCTTATTAGTTGAAGCTTTTCAAATGATCCCAGGCAACTTAGTTTTATAACACATCGGAGAGACTTTTATCTGTACTCACTTTAAAAAAATCAATTAAAAATAGTTCTTCATATTTTATTCAGTTTATTTATATAACACCAACAGAAGTCTTCTCAGGGCACTGAACAGAAACATTCACAAACAAACAAAAGCCAATTACCGGTAGTAAAGTTCTCTATCTAAGGAAGCAGCAGGTTGTGTTGAGTCTTCACTTGTTCGCAGTCTCCCATCCTGAGCAAACACAGTGGCAACAGTGGAAAGGAAAAACTCCCTTTGAACAGGATGAAACCTCCAGCAGAACCAGGCTCAGGACGAGCGGTCATCTTCTTTGACCGGCTGGGTTGAGAGGACAGGAAGGAGAAACAAACACACACAGAATGGCAGGTCCAGATGTTGCTGCAGGTGTACCTGAAAGACAAAAACACATGTCAAGGATAGAAATGATTACAAATACAAAACAGGTTGAACAGAGGAAGTGAAGACCGCAGCAGAGTGAAGAATGTGAAGACTGTGGTCAGTTTGTCCTCCAGCAGTCTAAGCCTATAGCAGCATAACTAAGGGATAGCTCAGGAAACCCAAGTCAACCCTAACTATAGGATTTATCAAAAAGGAAAGTCTTAAGTCCAGTCTTAAAACTGGACAATGTGTCAGCCTCATGGACAGAGTTGGTTCCACAAGAGAGGAGCCTGAGAACTGGAAGATCTTCCTCTCATTCTGCTTTTAGTACACAATTAAAATGAACCACTTTCTTTTTCACCTTTACAAATGCTCAAAATGTGTCAAACCGTAAACCAATTGAACAAAAGTCTTGGTTTGCACTTGTTTGTCTCCCCCCTCTTCCTGAATCTGTGTTTTTATTCTGCCCTGCAGGTGATGGCTGTGGCCCCACTGTGCTCGGCCCCAGCAGTGGGACTCTGTCCTCTTTGGGTTATCCAAGAACGTACCCTAACAACAGTGTGTGTGAGTGGGAAATCACTGTGCCCCGTGGAAAGAGGATCCACTTTCGGTTTGCTCAGCTGGACATAGAAGATGGCGACTGCCGGGTCAACTACCTCCGCCTCTTCAATGGCATTGGACCAGAAAGGAGTGAGATTGGTGAGAGAGATGAGCGGGCACCGGATATTGAGTGTCAAAGTCCAACAGTTTCCTAAAACTAATGCTCCCTCATCCTTGGCTGGTATTCAGCAGCTTTTTTGTCTCCTGTGTGAAAATGTGTCGTCATCCTAATATTTACATTGTCATGTCACTTCATGGAGTTTGTCTCGGCTGTAGTTTCTACAGCTAGTCTTGATTGGAGCCATTAGTGTGGGCTAAGATCAGTTTGAATGAGCTGCAGCCTCGAGCTCTCCCAGCTTAAGCTTCTTGCCAACTGGTTTTTATATCTGCAGAGTAAAGTTATTAAACATATCTGCCTCATGGAGATATTATAAAATGTGTATTTCCTTTAGTTAAAGAGTAATCATATTGGATTATTGAACACTTGCTCTCAAAAGGTACCATCGCTACTGTACAAAGTGTTATGCTGTGGTTGTTTGATTTGCCAAACATTTTTATCTAAAGTAAGATATTTTTCTGGATTGAGTGCAGTAAAGCCCGATGTGCACTAAGAAGTGAATATAAACCCATTTATTACTACTGTCCATTTATTATTATTACTTTATTATTTACTATTTCGAACAAAAGTGAAGAAAACGGATGGAAACGGCTGACCTGCGTGTTATCTGCGTTTTAATTTAACTTGCACATTGGAACATCTCGTGCAGTTGTAAAGTTTGGAGCTGCACATTCTAGTTTTGAATGGATAAAATTTCCCAGAAGTAAAGCGAAACGTCTTCAGTTACAGAATATAATCCAGCTGTTCAGTGTTTTATTAATATTTGTCATTCATTTTTATTTTAAGAAAGCACATTTGTCAAAAAGTTACTTGGATTCCTGTCATAACTCATAACTGCTTGCATGTATAGTTGTATTTATTTATTTTTTAACATTGTTTACCATTTTCTCAATAAATATCTTAACCCAAGTTTATTAGCATCAGGATCGGAGCAAACGTGGCTGCATGCACCGGTAGTAAAATGGGGAAAGTGGTGCTATTGTTATAGTTTGTAGTGCTTGTTCAAACATAAAGCAACAGTTGTAATTTTCCCAAATGTAAATAACCTAAAGTAACTAAATAGGTTTTGTCTTTAACCAGTGTTGTTTTTTTTTGGTCATGTGTGGTTAACAGTGAAATACTGCAGTTTGGGTCTAAAGATCAACGAACAAGTCGAGTCCTCTGGAAACCAGGTCACAGTCCAGTTCATGAGCGGGGTGCATCACACTGGACAGGGATTCTACATGTCCTACTCCACCACTGAACATTCAGGTACGCAGACTCTGAGCAGACCTCTTTCTGCAGATCATCTGTCAGCTCCAGTCTGCAGCACCGTTCATCTAATTTAAGGGACCTGAGTTACATTTCTGTTTTGGCCCGGGGGGGAGGTGGGTTGCCTCAGTGATTGCATGTGATTGTGTTAGTCACAGCTGTTTTCTCTCTGTACCCCTGTTTTTCTTTTTTTTTTATGGGTCTGAAGTAATTATATTGTCCTGGAAGGACTCGCTGATCTGTAACATATGGGTTTGTGTAAAAGTTGGCAGGTGGTCACAGTTTCTTCATTTCTCTTATATCATCTTCGTGTTCTATCACAGGAACTTTATTTCTTGATCAGTTTTCAGTTTGTGGTGTTGGAGAGACATAAATTGTTGGTACCAGATATTTTTCTGTCAGTTCCCTTCCTGTTTGTGACATAAACAACAGCCACGACAGTTGACGCTTTTTTTGATTGAAATGTCGTGGCCACTTTTGCCACATTTGAAACAACTAAATAAGTTTAGGGATGCATTTAAAATCAAAACACTATATTTTTGTGCATAACTACAGTTAGAAAAATTTACAACTATTCCCTGTTCAAAAAAATGGAAAACCAGATTTTCTTTCCTCCTCTACAATGTACAGAAAACAATAATCGCCTCTCGTTTCTGATAGTTAATGAAACCATAATGTACACATTCTTTGAGTTACACTGACTTTAATTTTAATTTTTTACTCAGATTTTAAAGACAACGAGGTCCTGGTACGGTTCAATTTATACTGAAAACCTTTAGTTTGACAGAAATAAGAGTAAAAAAAAATCTCATTGGTGTCAATATTAATTACTATTAGTAGTGTCTCATTAGGATGTGGCTGTTGAAGACTAGAAGTAGAATCATAGGAGAAAATAGACAAATGCTCCTTCAAGACTTTTTTTTTTTTTTAATACTTTATTTATAATTAATCAGAATTAAACAACTAAGGCAGACACACATAAAAAAACAATAATAAAAAAAAATATGACCAAACAGTCAAAACAGTCGGTCAGCCTACTGCTGTAGTGATGAAAAAGGATAAAAATCCACCCATCAGTCCAAAGTGCATAATCAAGCACAAGACTGAGTCAAATGGAACAACGGGCTGTTCAGGAAACAATGTGTTTCAAACAGTGCACCATAGAAAGCAGAGTATTAATAAAACATGAAAGTAAGAAAATTATGATAATGACATAAACAAATCAAAACGGATCCAAATTATCAAAGCTCCTTGAAGTCTCAGAGAATTTTCTGTGTTTACAACCAGTGAACCGCTTGGCTGCATTTAGAGCTTTTTGAGTTTACACCTGAAACTGTATCCTAGACTTAGCACATTATTTTAGGGATGCACAATATTATTGGCATGGTATTGGTATCGGCCGATAATAGTGTTAAAGTTAAATATCAGCCATACCATCAAAATAACTCACCGATATTAAAGGCACTGTTTTTGTATGACAACCCAGTGGCAAGGACGCCTGCAGCGGCAGCACAACGTGATGACGTCACGCGCGCCTACCTGATCTGATCACAGTGGAGAGGAAGATTTCAAAATGTTGGCAGTGTGGAAGTTTTTTTATTTTAATTGAGGATGTCAGATTCCAAAGACTTATGGACTACACTGAGCCTCGCTACATCCTCCCCAGTCGTAGATATTTTTTGCCGTAGCCTTACCTGAGTTACAAGCCGTCATTTCCAACGTCATTGAGAAGCTAATAGCTGATAGCACTTGGGTGAGTTTTACCACAGACATTTGGACGTCAAGTGTTAGCCTCGTTAGCATGATTAGTCTTACGGCACAATGGATAGACAAACACTTTGAACTTAAAAAGGCTGTCCTTCATGCACAAGAGAGCAGAGGATCCCACACTGCAGCTAGGAACCTGGAACAAGCCTCCACAAGTGAGACGGCATCGCAGGTGACTAATGCTAATAAATAATATTTAACACTTTTCATTTAATATAAGTTAAAGTGCTATGCATATGGCTGTTACTGAAAACACTACATTGCCAAAAGTATTTGCTCATCCATCCAAATTATCGTAATCAGGTGTTCCCATCACTTTCATGGCCACAGGTGTCTAAAATGAAGCACCTAGGCATGCAGACTGTTTGTACAAACATTTGTGAAAGAATGGGTCGCTCTCGGGAGCTCAGTGAATTCCAGCGTGGAACTGATAGGATGCCACCTATGCAGCAAATCCAGTTGTGAAATTTCCTCGCTCCTAAATATTCCACAGTCAACTGTCAGCTGTGTTATAAGAAAATGGAAGTGTTTGGGAATGACAGCAACTCAGCCACAAAGTGGTAGGCCACGTAAACTGACGGAGCGGGGTCAGCGGATGCTGAAGCACATACTGCAAAGAGGTTGCCAACTTTTTGCAGTCAATCACTACAGACCTCCAAATTTCATGTGGCCTTCAGATTAGCTCAAGAGCAGTGCACAGAGAGCTTCATGGAATGGGTTTCCATGGTCGAGCAGCTGCATCCAAGCCATACATCACCAAGTGCAATGCAAAGCGTTGGAGGCAGTGGTGTAAAGCACGCCGCCACTGGACTCTAGAGCAGTGGAGACGCGTTCTCTGGAGTGACGAATCACACTTCTCCATCTGGCAATCTGATTGAAAAGTCTGGGTTTGGCGGTTGCCAAGAGAACAATACTTCTCTGACTGCATTGTGCCAAGTGTAAAGTTTGGTGGAGGGGGGATTAAGGTGTGGGGTTGTTTTTCAGGTGCTGGGCTTGACCCCTTAGTTCCAGTGAAAGGAACTCTGACTGCTTCAGCATACCAAGACATTTTGGACAATTCCATGCTCCCAACTTTGTGGGAACAGTTTGGAGCTGGCCCCTTCCTCTTCCAACATGACTGTGCACCAGTGCACAAAACAAACTCCATAAAGACATGGAGTCTGGTGTGGATGAACTTGACTGGCCTGCACAGAGTCCCGACCTCAACCCGATGGAACACCTTTGGGATGAATTAGAGCGGAGACTGAGAGCCAGGCCTTCTCGTTCAACATCATTATGTGACCTCACAAATGCGCTTCTTGAAGAATGGTCAAAAATCCCCATAAACACACTCTTAAACCTTGTGGACAACCTTCCCAGAAAAGTTGAAGGGTGGACCAACGTCATATTGAACCCTATGGATTAGGAATGGGATGTCACTTAAGCTCATAGGTGAGTCAAGGCAGGTGAGCGAATACTTTTGGCCATGTAGTGTATGTGTCACCAGCTCTTACAGCTGTTACACAATTTTTGTAGCAAATAAGCCTAAATAAGAGGACAAAGGAAAGTATATAAAAAATATTGGTGTCAGTTATTGTTCAAATAAGTTTGAACATATCGGATATCGGCCAAAAAATCCAATATCGTGCATCCCTGTATTATTTTATTTACCATCTCTAACTTCATTGCACCCACCTCAGCATCCACTCCACTGTTTGAGAACAAATCAACTGGAGTACACTTTTGAAATGAACACTTGGTCCATATTTGTATTAATTATTTATCATCTGTGTGGGCTTTAGACCTGAACGTTCAACACCTGTGCGTCAGATGTGAGGGAGAACTCTCTAGAGCTGCAACATTTTTGAAAACTAAATTGAGAAGAGTTTGAGATGTCTACAACAACTCGTGTTTTGAGGGAACATTTGTCACATGCATATTTTTGAACGTTCCAAATTCGCACAACAAAGCAAACGTAATTGCTGCAGTTTGTTCCCACGGTTACAGCCCAGCGAGGTGCTGCCTTCACTGTAGACACTTCTGGGAAGTTGGCTTCTGGAACAGATTTAAAACATTTTTTTAGTAGGAGTGTTGTTGCAAAGTTTTAGCTCTTTTCAAGTTGTTTTTTGTCATGTGGTGAAATTGTAGCAACAAGTGAAGCCACAAGAAATGCTGGGCAATGACGTGTTTTGCAGAAGAGTAACTACTTAGTCCCGGTGGTCATCTTGAGTCACACAAGACCAGCTGCTTTTCCCTCCACACGCGTGATGAATGTGCTTTCATCACTCGGCTGAGCGTAGGAGTACAGTACAAAGTGCATCAGTCACCATGGCAACCTGAGGTGGTTTGGGTCATTTATTAGTTTTTTTTTCCAGTTCGACTCGTGTTGTTTCCAGATTACAGTTGTTTTTGTAAACATTAATGTGGTCAGGACAGAGTTAATTTGAGTCAAAATGTTCAAAACTCAGATTTTAGCTTCTCAAATTTAAGCAGCACAATTTAATTTTTATTCTTTGTGATGGACTGAATGTGTGAAGGTTTTGATTAGATGTAAAAAAAAACAAGTCATAGTATTTGAAACGAGGAATCCAGCTGGGCTGCATTTTGTCGACCATTGTTGTCGTATTTTTTTTTTTTTCTGTCTGTCTGCAGGTTGATGGCTTCATCTTGCCACATGTTACAGAATCAGTATTTTATACAGCAGAAAAATACGACCTAAATTAATTCTGTATGTGAGCTCTCTGTGCAGCTCAGGCTAAAAACAGACTTGTGTGCAAACGGCCCTTGAAAGACAAATGGGAACCATTGTGGAATGGGAATCTTTGGAGGAATAAAAGTGTATTTTTCCAACTTGTTAGGCTTGCAAAACAAAAATATCAGTTTCTTTATTTAAAAATAATTCTTAATATGTTCAAAAGGTATTTGTGGATGCACAAATGTCAGAGTTTGAGTTTGTTATATGAGCTATCTGTAAGAGACATGGCGGTTGTTTTCTGTTAGTTTGGTTGTTGTGCAGGATTGTGTAGATAAACCAGTTCTGACGTTTGTTTGTTTTACTTTACAGATTTAATCACTTGCCTCGACAAAGGAACTAATTTCCCCGAGGCACAGTTCAGGTGAACAGCGATTGCTTTGTGTCGATATTTGTGCAGGGTTCACACTTTTGTGTATTCATTGCATGTTTGTGTGTTTGTGTTCTCAGGAAATACTGCCCAGCAGGCTGTTTGACAAATACAGAGGAGGTTTCTGGAACAATACCCAATGGATATCGAGAGGTGAGTCGTAGTCTCCTTTTCCTCTGGTCAGTATTTGTCCTGGATCAAACAGGCCCAGTTCCCTGACCCGGTCCTGGTCTGATGACCTCACAGCACCCCTGCTGTGCATGAGGTCACAGGCGCCGAGTCTCTTGCTGATGACCTCATTTGGAGTTTGAGGGTTTTTGTAAAAGGAGGAAGGGGGTGGTGTTGCTGGCAAACAGGAGGACAGGGAGGAGTCCTGGGGTGTGCTTCAGGGAGTGCGGCGCCCCACAGGACCAGAGGAGGGGCCGGGTCACTGGGTGAAAGGAAGGTTAGATAATAGTTTGGCTGAAAATAATAAGCGTGTAATTCAGTCCAGCTGCAGGAGGGTGCCGAGCAGAGCTGTTCAATGAGCTTTATTTCATTTTATCTTTTGCAAAGAAAAGAATGAGTCCGTGCAAATCAAATGCTTCATTTATGCATGCCTGTTTTTCATTTTATTTTTATTTGTTTCTGTGCCTGAAATTCATTCATGCAGCCGGTTTAGAGGGTGTGTTCATCCCTCCAGAACTTTGGTTTCAGTCTGCATCCATGACCCCACCCAGATCACAATCTTACATCGTTTTGTCTCTCAGTATCTTATACTTTTTCCTTCTACGTCCCAGTTATCTATATATATATATATATATGTGTGGTGGTGGGGGGCTGGGGGGGTATAGTTTCCTGGGTCTTGTGATTTGTGTTAGTGGTTTGTGACAGTGTACTTCAGGATGTGGTGTGCAACGTTTGGGAAGTTACGAGAGAAGCGTTGATTGCTTGTGGCAGCCTTTGACTGTGGCGTTTGTGTGTAAATACATGTACACTGAATGTGCTCGTCAGTCTGCGGCTCACCAGTTCTCCCACAATCTTCTCAGCTGTGGATTCCAACGGGGCTCTTTTTACCCGTAGTAAAATTTTACTCGAATGCAGCAGCTGCCGATTGGAAGGAGCGCGTCGGAGTGGGGTTTTTGTCAGCTTCTCAGTCCGTGGCAGCAGGTTTGGACAGGAATGCAGCGGCAGTGAGTCATTCCCATCAGAGCCTCGCTGTATGTCCCGTACAGAAAGGTGACGTCGTCCTGACTCATCAGCTTTTATCTGCCCGAGTCTGAAGGTTGAAGTGATCCTACTGTACAGCAGGACTGCCACTTCCTCACTTGGGGACAAATTGAATTTGCAGCACCATTTCATGAAGAGCACTTCCTACTGACAGGAAATTCCCTTGATAGCATTTTAATGCTTATCTGAACCTTTTGTGCATTTTACCACAAGTACAAATGTGCTGCTGAAGTTCCTGTTTCAGAGGCTGACCTTCTGTGAAGATTAAAGATGGTCCATTTTAGTTTTATCCTTTTAATTACAGCATGCGCGTTGTGTCCCAGGACTCTGTAAGCTGTCATGTTGACAGAAATTCAGATGTACGTCTGATGGCAATTGTTCAAAGTTGCTAAACTCCTGCAAACACAGTCCTGCAGCATTTCATGCTCAAAGATGGGGTCAGAACCTCAACTTCATTTTTTGAAACAAAGGGAGTTTAAGGTCTACATATGAATTGAATAAACTTTTAAAGTATCTGCCAGTGACATGTTTTGTCTCAACTGTTACAGAAAAATAGAGTTATCTGGGAGTCTTTGTTCACAAGTGATGGTAGGATTTACTGGTCCTTTCCAGTTCTCACCTATGACAGGGAGACGTGGATCAGGACCAAAAGAATGAAATGAACGTCCTCTGTAGGGTGGCCAGGCTCAGCCTTGGAGATAATGTAGAAGCTCTTATCCAGAGCCGCTGCTCCTCTGCATCAGAAGGAGTTAGCTGAGGTGGTTCGGTGGTTTGATTAGGATGTCTCCTGGGCACCTCACTCAAGAAGTTTTCTAGTATCATTGGGAGGAGATGCTAAGAAAGACCGAGAACTCACTGGATGGTTTTTGGGTTTCTCTCCTGGACCCGTTGTCTCTACAACCAACTACTGATGAGCAGGAGAAAATGAATGGATAACAAAAAGTAATGTAATTGTTGATAAGTCTCTTTGTTAACAAGTGAAGTTTCATTAGTTTTCAGACAACCACCTGAATATACTTTTGCTAAATAAAGATGCTCTCGTTACCACATAAGTTTTAGACATTTCTCTGTTATTACACACTTGATAAAAATAAATGTGCCATTAACAGTCTTGTGTAGACCTTGATGCCACAGTAATTCAATCAACTGACTCAGGTCAAGTCACATTTATTTATATAGCACATTTAAAACAGTAACTGTTGTCAAAGTGCTTACCAAAAAAAGATCGCAGCATCAAATATTAATAAGATATTACAGTATCATGAATAAAAGCATAAAAACATGAGTATAATTAGAAACAATGACATACTAAATCAAATCACCCTGCATTAAATGTCAGGGAGTACAGATGTGTTTTTAGGAGAGATTTAAAAATAGAGACTGAGGTGGCCTGTCAAATGTTGATGGACAGATTGTTCCAGAGTTTAGGGCCCATGACTGAAAACGCCCGGTCTCCTCTGAGCTTCAGCCTGGTTTTTGGTACGGCCAAAAGCAGCTGGTCTGATGATCTCAAGGGCCGAGAAGGAGAATAAGGATGAAGGAGATCGGAGAGGTATGAGGGTGCAAGGCCATTAATGCACTTGAATGTCAGCAGGAGAATCTTAAAATCAGCTCTGACACGCACAGGAAGCCAGTGAAGGGAGGACAGAACTGGAGTAATGTGCTCAAACCTGTGAGTTCCTGTTAGTAGCCGAGCTGCAGCATTTTGGACGAGCTGGAGACGTGAGAGGGAGACCTGACTGACCCCAGCATAAAGCGAGTTACAGTAGTCCAGCCGGGTTGTAATAAATGCATGGACTAGTTTTTCAAGGTCGGATCTGGACAGAACGGACTTGAGCTTAGCTATGTGCCTTAGCTGAAAGAAACAGAATTTATCTGCTTATTAAACTTAAAGTCCGAGTCTAAAACTATCCCGAGATCGGTAACGGACTGTTTTAGATGTGGCTGAAGGGAGTGCAGGTTTGCAGGATCAGTGACAGTGGCAGAGCTCGGGTTAAACACAATGACCTCAGTCTTCTGATCATTAAAACTCAAGAAGTTCACAGCCATCCAAGCCTTGATGTCATCAAGACATTTTTGTCAGGTGTTTGGAGCAGGACATATATTTGTTTCCTTTCTAAGTAAACTATCAATAATACAGTTCTTGTCTCACATAAATGGCTGCCAGTCTGTTTAATGCAACGTATTTGCTGTGAAAGTCTGTTGCTCTGTGTTACAGAAGTGTACAGAATCATAATCTGTATTTATCGGTCCCTTTTTTCCTGTTCCTGCAGTCGTCTCCTCTCTGCGCTGCAGCAGTTCATGCAGGTGTGGTGTCCAACGCTGAGGGGGGGAGGATCAATGTGGTTAGCAGCAAAGGCATCCCTCACTATGAAGGCACACTGGCTAACAATGTCACTTCCACTGGGTAACACGTTGAGACACTGCAGGACACAAACCTGCCTCACACTCAGCGTCTGCTTTGTTTACTCGGAGTCAGTCGTTCACACTTTGTTTCTTCTTGTTCTCAGAGGAACTTTGTCAAACAGCCTTTTTACTTTTATAACAAATGGTGAGTCTTATTTCTCTTTTAATCAACATCTGTAAAGTTTTTCTGGGAAAAGGCCTGATGTGAGCGACTATGAACACACACCCCTAAAATAGGAAACAAAAATAACCGTATGTGTATTTGTGCCTTCAGGCTGTTACGGAACGCTGGGCTTGGAGTCCGGTGGTGTTGCAGACACTCAGCTCAGTGCCTCATCTGTTGCCTCATCTGTGGGGGACTGGACCGTCACCGGTGTGTGGGGACCGTCGGGGGCTCGCCTTAAAAAGACGGGACTTCCCTGGGCACCTTCACAGAGTGACCAGCAGCAGTGGCTGCAAGTAGATCTGAAGAGGGAGAAGAGGATCACAGGTACGCCATGTGAACAATTCCAGGATTATTCTTTTTCAAGGATTCAAGGTTCTTTATTTGTCGTGGAACAAAATTATGTATACAGGGTCCCAGTTACATCCAACAAAAGTATTAAATGTAAAAGAAAAAAACAGTAATAAGATCTAAAATATGAAATAAGAAAAACATTTGTAAATATACGCTAAGCCCGAACTTTCATAACAGTTACTGTTTTAAATGTGCTATATAAATAAATGTGACTTGACTAACAGCATAAAAAACAAACACAATACCCTGAACAGCAGCACAAACATGAGTCTGTGAGCAGATGAGCATGAATGAACACAGCAACGTGAAACAGATCAGCAGCAACATGAAAGATCAGCAGCAACATGAAACAGATCAGCAGCAACGTGAAACAGATCAGCAGCAACGTGAAACAGATCAGCAACAACGTGAAACAGATCAGCAGCAACATGAAACAGATCAGCAGCAACATGAAAGATCAGCAGCAACATGAAACAGATCAGCAGCAACGTGAAACAGATCAGCAGCAACATGAAACAGATCAGCAGCAACATTATGTGATTTATTCACAATTATAATTCTGGTTAGAGATTCATGAGTCTAACAGCCTCAGGGTAGAAGCTGTTCCTCAGTCTAGTGGTTCTACACTTAATGCTCCTCGACCTCCTTCCTGAGGGGAGCGGGACAAAAAGTTTGTGTACTGGATGAGTGGGGTCCTTCATGATGCAGGTGGCCCTCTTCCTTTTAAATGGTTTATTCAAAAACACTTGTGTAAATTACAGTTCCTCTGTATGACTTTGATGATGATTTAACAAGTTCTAGTAACAACAATGAATCCTCCATGTTTTGAACACTTCAGAGAATAAATTCTCATGTCTTTGGAGGTTCTGGTTGTCTCTCTGGTGTAACTTTCACCCTGAACGGGACACCATGTTTTATCTTATAATAAAAAGAACTACTAGTCAAATTGATGAAGTCAAGTACACTTGTGTTTTGTGCTTTTATTTAAGCTCATGAAACTACTGTATTTTGTGTCGTACATGTCGCACCGCCCTATAAGTTGCATCAGTCCAAATATGTCTAATAAAGTGGGAAAAAAAACCCATAAATCTATTTCTTTGCTGTATACGTCTCATCTATTGTGCGTCACCGCTGACAACCTGGAAATGTGGGCCGGTGTTGTGCCAAAAATTGATTGGCTGCCAAATGGTGGCCGCAGGAGTGTGCACGGGAGAACTATAACAAGAATTGAACAAGATTAACACTTAAAAACAATTGTTTGTTTGCTCAAAATTATAGTAAAGGTGTGTCTCAGTTGAACTTTTACTTGATAAATGCACTTTGACGGTCAAATCAGCTGCATTTCAAAAGTATTCGCTGCCTCGGTGCTCTGGGAGTGCGCTGAGGGAGGAAATCAGGAAGGAGGGATGCTATGCATTTCTTCGAAATTTAACGAGATAAGCACCTAAAACAATTATTTGTTTGCTCAACGTTATAGTAAAGGTGTGTCTCAGTTGAGCTTTTACTTAATAAATTCACTTCAATGGTCAAATCAGCTTCGTTTCGCCGGGGCGGCGCAGCGAAATGAAGCTGATGCTCCAGGCGAGCTGGATGAAGGTGTCAGGCTATGGCAAGCCAGTTTCGTCATTAATAGCCACTTGTACCTATGACATGACACAATGGCATGCCATACTACTAGAGTGCCATCAAGCAGCTGAAAATGGTAGTATTCAATAATTTCAGTCAGAATGAATGCAAACGGTCATATCGCAGCCAAAAATTGTTTTATAAATATGGAAAAAAAATCCATAAATACGTCACTTCAGTGTATAAGTCGCAGGGCATGCAAATTATGCAAAAAACTGCAACTTATAGGCTGAAAAATATGGTGGTATGCAAATCTGACGAGTATGAAGCGTCAGATGTGACTTTCAGGCTGTGTAGCCTCCAAGACTCAACTGTGCAAGAGTTCAGTCAGGATTCATCACTTTGCTTTTTCCATTCATCCCTCCAGGTATCATCACCACAGGATCTACCCTGAGGGACTACCAGTACTTTGTTTCAGCATACCGGGTTCTGTACAGTAATGATGGCAAACAGTGGAACATCTACAGCGAAGCAAACTCCACACAAGACAAGGTGAAATTAATAAACTATAAACAATAAAAATGGCTTTCCTGTTAATTAGTCTTTCATAAATGGTTATTTTTGAAGTTCAGGGCTGTTGTAGGCAACACTTATTGACAGGATATGGACTGAGTTTTGTTTTTTTTCCCTCTGCTGCAAATAAGATAATTTGTTCTTATAGATTTTCCAAGGCAACATCGACTACCTGCACGAGGTGAGGAATAACTTCATCCCTCCGCTCGAAGCCCGTTACGTGCGGATGAACCCCACCTCGTGGCACCAGAGGATCGCGCTCAAGCTGGAGCTGCTTGGCTGCCAAGGTCCTGCAGGTTAATGACGTCTGTTCACGGCAAGGAAACGACTGTTTCGAGATTCAAAGATCCACTTGTTTATTTTTCTCGGACAGTGAGGTGGACCAGATTGTCCATCCCTTCTCGTAATTCTCCACATCCTGCGAGTACAAAACGCCCACCTCACCTTGGTCAGACCACACACATACCAGACATCAGAAACACAACTATGCCTCCTCTCATTGGCAAAGGTAAGAGAACTAGCTGATTGGACCTTTTTATGGCGATATTTGTCACACGATGATAATTTTTTAGCATCTTTGCTCCTAGATGTGGTGCTGACAGCAGTTCTCGTACCCGTCTCGGTCATGCTCATGACAGCTGTGATCCTGACTGTGGTTTGTGCTCGCCACTGGAGGAACAAGTATGAATCCTTCTCTTATCCCATCACCTGAAGCGCCTCTTCTCTGTTATGACCTTTTTCTGTCCTCGTAGGAAAAAGAGCTCTGAGGGAGCGTTCGATCTTCCTCACTGGGATCGCACAGGTATGTCATGGTTCTGCAGGATGCCTCTCGTAGGTTGCTCTGTACTTCATGTGGCTCATGTGCTGCAGACTGGTGGAAGAGCATGAAGCAGCTGCTGCCTTCCAAGATGGTGGAGATAGATGATTCAATTCGGTACAGCACCGGGAGAAGTGCCGTACCAAGACTGCATGCTGAGCCAGCAGGTAGGTGGGCTCCAACGTGTCTGTCAGAAAAATAACTGCAGGGCAACATTTATTTTCTGAAACCAAGTTGCCCCCTGCTGATCAGAAGTTTCTTTGTAATGACGATCAATAATCCATCAGTGGCATCTTTTTTTCACTCTCAGTTGGTTTAGATCAGTAGAATTCTGTGATTCATGCACAATCCCAAACAGCTACAGGTAAACACCCAACCAAATGCTTTGTGTTGCACAACAAATGAGCCCAGTTTAATAACTTTTGTAATCTGGTTCACAGGAGAAACTCGACTGTACAATAAACTTATTGTGTGAATGTTGATGAAGCAGTCACTCTGTTGTGGTCCAGTTTTCTTCTGTACCTTTGTTTGGCATCTTTCTCGTTCCACAATTTTTGTGCTATTTCAGCAAATCATCAACTCGTTCAGAAGGGTGCTATTACTTTTGGTATTGGTGCAACTTTAGCTTTTTAAAATATTTAGTCTTTTCTGCCACTTTCCTCTTAGAAAATGAATTGAGCTCATTTTACATTCTTCATATCTTTAGATCTGTTTACAACCTTTTACTCCTCTTTTCACATTTTGCTCTGCTTCAGCATCTTTCAGCTTCCTTCTGTAAATGTAAACCTTTTTTTAGCTACTTTCAGCAAATTTCAGCTGTTTTGTGATCCTTTTAGATTCTTTCTGCTAACTAAAACATTTTTGTGCTTCTAACCTTTCTAATTTCAGCTTGTTCTTTCAGCTTATGTCTGCAAGTTTCACCCTTTTCTGCTGTTTCAGCTACTATTTAGCTGTTTTTATACTAGTATTAGCTTTTTCAGCTAACTCATAATATTTGGCACTCATTTAAACCTTTTTCAGCCTAATTCAGCAAAAAATATTGTCTCTCCACTTCTTTCTTGTAATTTCTGCTTCTTTCTGCTTCTTTAGCTACTTTTCATCAGGGTTTTTTTGTTTGTTGCTAATTAAAAAAAATAATTAAATTCAGTTTATTTACCAGGGTGTATAGCACCAAGTCACAACAGAAGTCATCTCAGGGCAGATAATTTCCACTTTATTATTATTATTTTTTACAAATGTCTGCTTCTTTAAGCCTAATTGGGCAAACGTGTTCTTTCTGCTTCTGCAAATTTAAACTTGTTCTACACTTTCAGCTACCTTTTTTTAGCATTTTTAAGCTAATTTCAGCTGTTTTCAGATAAATTCATGCTTTTTGTGGTAATTTCTGTTATTTTCAGACTAACTTCTTTCTGCTTGCAGCTTTTTTTCTGCTAGTTTAAGCTTCTTTTTGCCTTTTCAGCTATTGTTTGTTCATTTCAAGCATTTGTTTTAGCTAATTTCCTAAATGTGCTCATTTCTGCTTATTTAAACCTAATTCATCAAATCTGTTCTTTCTGCTTTCTTTTCTTCTGCAATAAGCATTTTTGCAGGAAATGCATTCTCTAGTTAGAAGTGTTAAAACGTCCCTCGTTCTTACTGTGCTAAAACAACAAAAAGTGACGCCTTTTATTTTGCGTTGTAAAGCAACAAAAGAAGTTTGTATCTTTGTGATGAAAAGAGTAAATTATACATTTTCATAATCCATGTGCTGTAAATGTAGTTTCTACTTAGGACACCGCTGCGTACACTTGCTCTTCATGTTTTAAATGTGCACAACGTTCTGAAACAGCTGGACACTGATAGTTTTGTGCCGGTGTTTAAGTAAATGTGTTAACTTTGACTGACAGCTGTTGAGTAATACAAGGCAGTGTGTTTTTGGGCTCTGACAAAAGATTAATGTTGTGAATTTGTTTCCAACTACTTGTGGTGCGAGCTGTTGATGCATAATGTCCACACACCAACGATCATATGGGAGGCACGCTGCTGCCGTCTACTACTGAGCCCTTAGGGCTGCGCAGCAAAGTGATTTAGCAGTATTAGGCAGTATTTGAGAGACTGTGATGAAATGGCAGTAATAATAACAACGGTAAAGAAACATTATCATTCAGTTTCCAAACCCTTTGTAGCAATAACATCAATAAAATAATTTACCTAGCTGAGACTTGCTAATTTGCCTCGTACTCAAAATTTTTATTTTGTGCTTCAAAATAACAAACTACTTAATTTAGCATCTCCAGCAAAAAATATTGTATGTATTTGTCAATAAATTTAGATGGTAATGGGTTAACATGACTATTTTTTGATCTGTTAAATTGTTTTTCACAGCTAATTGGTTTAGGCTGATAACTACAGATGTATGAGGTAAAAGTGGGTTTCTTAAACACTTTAGGTTTGTGATTTTATGCTTAGCATTTTTTATACCTATATTTGTTTCAATAGCTCCATTAATTAATCTATCGTTTTAAAATCAATATCAGCATCTACTGTACAAGTTCATCCTTTAAGACCAAGCATTCACGGTCGTAGGCAGTAGAAGCTTCTTCAGATCCATCTACTGGAGTCCTTGGAACCTGACTTTGCAAATGTGATTTTGATAGTTTGACGACAATTTAAGGTTCTAAAAGTAAAAAAAAAATTGTTCCAAGCTGTGAGACCTTCTCTAGGAATGTTTAAAATATGACACAAATGATTGATAGTTGTTTATTTATTTTTTTAGAATATGCCCAGCCACTGGTGAGTGGAGTGACGACGTTGGGTGCACGGTCGACCTTTAAACCGGATGAGGGTCCTGACCCAGGGTACACCGATCCAAACCTGTATGATGCCCCCGTCTCATCAGATGTATACCACTCTTATGCAGAGCCGCTGCCAGCTTCAGGATCTGAATACGCCACTCCAATCGTGGTGGACATGGGCTGCCACCCGTCAGGGGGGTCTGCTCTGAACCAGCCCTCCACAGTTCGTAGTTTCAGAGGGTCCGGGCCCACATCCCTGCTCGCACAGACGGACAGTGGCCAGTCTGATGGGTCTGTTTATGACACGCCTAAAAACGCCACTGAACAGACCGCGCCCACTGAGGATCTGACCTACCAGGTGCCTCTGAAAGGCACTCATAAGGCAGCGGGTCAGAGCTGAAAAGTCTGGGTGCACATGGCTTTAATCGGACCCCTCAAGCCCATTGGGTAGAAGCTGAGGCGTGCGCCTGGGCTGGAGTTTTGAACGAACACTACCTTAGCTCCGATGAGTCTGGAGATGTCTACGTCGACTGAACGTTTGTGCAGACACGAACTGCGCAGTGCCTTTACAGTCCTATCACTGAAACAACGATGAATGTGTTGGTGCCGGGCGCGAGTCTGACAGGAAAAGGAGGAAGTGACTACTAACTGATAAAGACTTTGACCCTGTTCTGTGATGTTCGTCAGTCTCGCATCTTAAACTGTGATTTCCATTCTCTTGTTTTTATTCTGATGCTAAACCATAGCGACCATTTTCATTTCACCAAATTTAAGCATTTTCTCAAAAACCTGCATGCTCTTTTCTTTGACAACTCCTTCCTACAGCTCTTGCCATGGTACGTAGTCTTACATTGTTCTGAAGCGTGACTTGAATGTTTTCTAGTTCTTGTAATTCCATTACTGCAATCCTGTTAGGTCAAACTGTAAAATATTTATTTGTATTTCACATCCTGCTGATTAACGAGCGACTCCATCACTCCCCTCCTCTGTTAGCAGAGCAAAGCTCGGAGGCGGGAGGTTGTGAGAATCGATCCGGTGAACTTTCCAAAGAGAAAAGACATTTTATAGATCTGGAGACCAAATGTTGCTTTTTCTGCGATTCAACAGATTCAACTTTGACAATCGTGCCAACACGAGTTACAGAGTGAACCGTCTTAATTTCCTCCAAGACAGGTACAGCGGATAAACATGTTGCAGCTGTGATCATAGTTCGTCCTCATGATTGTTATTGCATGTGTCCACGTGCATCGATGTCTGTATGTGCACTAAGCTGTTTGAAAATGTCTGTAGTGTGTTTGAACTGGTTTCTAGCTGTGGAGGATCGTCTGTTGCACCAGTAAACTGCATTCCTCTCCTGCACGCCCCGTGGTACTGATCCGACTGAACACGGGGCAGCAGGAGTGTAGATGGTGGGCAAATGTTTAAATCTGTACAGAACAGCCTCCAGAGGTGTTCAGACCGCTGTACCACCGTCATGTTCAGCGACCAGGGAGACTGATGTACAGTTTGGATGCTCCCTGGTTGCAAAGGGTGTAAGTGTGCTGCTCTCACTGATTGAAAGAGGAATAAAGAGAAGTTTTATTACAACCTCAAGCGTTTCATTTATCAGTTCCACATCAGAGTCAGGATGATGTACGAAGTGAAGGTTGATACTTTTGCTTTATTACAACAATATAAATATTACAGTAAAGAATGGTATGCATCATCAAATAAGTGAGAAACGATTGAAAGCGACACTTCAGAGCTCAGTATATAGATATATATATAGTATATAAAATGTTTTGAAATGTAAATATCTTACCTGTTGCTGATGGCTCTGAACGGCCTCGGTTTCTAGAAGTGTTTAATTCTGACCAGATCGATGAGCTAACTGCTGCTGCGTGTGGGGCCGAGAACACCCGGTCATCAGTTACTCCAGATATTTTGTTCCTGACTGAAGTGCTACAGCTAGCTGCTGCTGCTGCCAAAGTTTGATGTGACATTTTTGCTTTTAGACTCGTCTTAAGACAACAGTCCACAGACGAGTCCTTAGCTTGTTGATCCAGTCAGAATTAAATAGTTATTCTAAGAACTAAGTAGGATATTAATAATTCAAGTTATTGTTCTTCCCCAAATGAACTATACTTTTAAATTCTGGTGCCAATGCAGCATTCAATGAAATGGTTGAAATATATATTTTTAAGAAAAAAACATAAGTTGATATTTTAGGACATGTTTGTTATTACCCCAAAAGGGAGATGATGAAAATCTAAAAATGATAATTTATAAAAACATTAAATTGACTTCTGGATTTCCTGCTGTTTCTTGATTAATGTTCCAAGGTTCTTTGTCATTCGCATTACATGTGGTACATGAGTACACAAACTTGTGTACTCAAGGTCCCAGTTACACCCCAAAATAGCAAAAATATAAAGTATATTAAAAAACGAATATACAATTAAACAATAAATTACACATTGCACACTCCATGTTGCTCTTATCATTTTAGAACAAAGAAAGCAAAGCTCCACTTTTTTTTTTTACTCCATTAAACCACAATCTTCAACTGATTTGCCGTACACACAAAAATAATAATTAAAAAAACAAAACAACTCGAGCGGTGCTGCTCGACTCATCTGAACTATTAAATTTTACAGAGTTGCATCAAATGCAGCAAAACACACCTGAATGTTTGTACAGAAAGTCACAAAATGTATTAAATGTCAAACTTCACTGTGCTTCAGTGTTTCAGCACTTGTTGTCTTAAATGTGTTTATTAAACATTTAATCCCATAATTGCTCTTTGCATTAAACTTGCCCACAAAGCAGCAAATGAGTTTATTTTTCACCTGCTTGTGAGTTTCTCCTTACATCCTGGTCTTCGGCATCATGAGACGTCTTATTGAAATGTTAAAAGCACGTTCTTTCCTTTCTTTCCAAACTTCCACCACACCACCGTGAGGACAACAGCAGTCAGGAAGATCAGGCTGCTGGTTACCAGGTAAGCAACAGGCAGGAAATGGTTCTGACCTCCAAACCAGGTCAGCGTGGTCAGCACCACTTCCTTTCTGCCTCGGAACGGCTGCACAGGAAAGTCTGAAGGAGCAGGAGGTTAAGGCTTAAAAAGAAAATCGATACCAGAGAGACGCTCAGAGGAAACTGGTCAGCGTATAAAGACTCCTAGATGTGATGAAAGGATACTGTAGCTTATATCGATGGTGTAGTTCCCCGATGGAAGCCCCTTTGAGAAGAGTGGTCGGCTGTTTCGATTTAAAATCCCATAGAGCTTCTTAAAGTTGGGGAAAGCGGCCTCTCTCATCCAAACAATCAGATCATCATTGATGAAACCATTGTTGTTCGGGTCATCTGGATTAAGTTCATACACGGGTTTCTGCCAGTACAAAGGTTGCACAGTGCCTTTGGAGAAAGTATCACGAGTTAACGCCATGTATCACAAAAGAACACAAAGAAATGCACGTTACCTTCCAGCTTCACCTTCAAACACCTCAGCTAGAGTCAAGTTGTCCATCCTTGGGTTACGGTATTTGACGTTTTTGTCAGTGTACCATGTGAGGCCGGTCCGTAGCAGCGGAACAAGAACAGAACCGCTGGAATGATGGAAGGTCAGAGCAAAGGTGTCTGAGGGGAGAAAGGTGTGGGTTAATGGTTCAGTCAGGTGAAAGTAAGCAATGACTGATGATGTTATTATAAGTGCTGTTTACCATTAAACATACTGTTGGCTACAGCTCCGCAGGGAGCAATAGGGACTCCGTTCTGATCTCTTGCAAATGGCTCGCAGTATGCACTTGGGTTCTAGTAAAGAAAATGACAAATTAAATACAAATTTCTTGAAAATCGTTCGGCTTTTTCCTCTTCAGGGGTCACCACAGTGAGTCATCCTCCATCTTACTCTGTCCTCACTCCAACTCCTTCCATGTCCTCTCTAACAGCATCCATATATCTCCTCTTTGTCTTTTTCCTGGCAGCTGCATTTCTAACATCCTTCTACCAATATAACCACTGTCCATCCTCTGGACATGTCCAAACCATCTCAGCCTAGTGTCTCTAACCTTATCTCCCAGTTGTTCAACCCAGGGCCAGCCCAAGCCTCCATGGGGCCCTAAGCAAAATTTGGTTTGGGGCCCTCTATTTCTGCTAATAATGTGGATTACTGCAATCAACAGATGATCAGATCATTCACCATCTAACAAACTCATTGCAACTCTGACAGCTCTGTTTACATTATCCTATATGCATATATCATAGTGGTACTAAAAAAAAAGAAAACACCACTATGCAATGTGTTTTGCAGCAAAAGTGTCATCTGGTTTATTATCTTTGGTTCCAAAGAACTGCAAAATAATTTGTAGTGCAAGATCAACAACAAACAACAGACAAAATAACTTAGATGCATATAAATGTAGTATGTCATATGCTGGATATATTCATACTTTTTCACGAGTTCCTCATCTTTCTGACTGTGTAAATGTCGTGCATTGAATTTAACAGAAATGTAACGAGAGACGTTATTATCTTTGACCCATCAAAATGAATGCGGTCATTTATTTTCAGAATCAAAGTTTAACATCAAACATTTACATTAATTTGGCAAAATATGAAAATAATAACAGACAAGTTTCACAGATAATGGACTTCAATCACACGGCGGTGATTGAGGACTTTGCTTCAGATATTTCTAAGATATCTGTCAAATGAATTTAGGAGAAAGGAGATTTATCTTACAGAGAGATTTGTGAGGGAATTAATCTGTTTGACCAGAAACGTGCACGCTCCTTCAGATCTCAGCTTGCGACGGTACGCTTGGTCGAAGTAGAACCGTTACCTGGTTGATGATATATCAGCGTCGGTATAGGATCCTTCCTTGACTCTTTCAGCGTCTCCGTTGAGAGCAGCTGAAATCCTTCGAGAGTCGTGCGAGGTTATTCAAACAGAAGTTATAATCCCAAAACGTCTCTGGATCATCCTGAATGCGTTTGCATCCAAGAACTCTGAACTCCTTTCATCTCCTTAGCACTCTCTATCAGACTTCCGACATCAGACTCTTCAGCACTCTGTGTGGAACTCTCAGTGCTCTGCAGCATCAGACTCTTTAGAACCGGGAAGTTGCCACATTTTAAATGAGTTGACTTCCGGGTCAATTTAGAGCTTTCTGATTCGTGGATGGACCAGAATAGAGGTGTGGTTTGTGATGTAAGATGTTATCAAATTCGAGGTCAGAGAATGAGATTATTTAACAGACAGAAAAGATTATTGGAGAAAAAGCAGACTTCGTGGAGTCAAACTCCTATTATCTTCTGAAAAAGTTTAAACATGACATTTCTTCTCAGTAAACATTTTAGTTGACCGAGACTCGACCTTTAACATACTTACAAACTTGCTCATTGCAGACAGAAAAATCAAGAAATGCATATTAACCTGATTTCTTCTTTGAATGAGGAATAAAAATCATTACTTACTGTTTATGTAAAATAAAAATGAGTAGTTCTCTTCAACCTGTAAACATTGAGTGAACTAACACAATTTGATTATCAAACATTTGTAAAATAGTAATGATCATAGAGGATTGTCTTTTCTACTTGATTAATTCAAGGAAGAAAGTCTCCAGATGGCTCAAACTGTATTTCTGGATGCAGATCAATGAAATAACAGTCTCTGTTCATCTGATCAGATTTGAGGTCAGATCAGGTTCACTACATAAATAAATTAAATTGTGCAAAAACAGACAAAATAAAATAAAAATAAAATATCAAGGAAATACTTAAATAATTTAAATGAACAATTACTTGAAACCATGTAAAATGGTTTAAAATCAGAAATTTAAAGCTGATTAATTAGTTCTTAAAACTTTGTAAATGTATGCAACAATTTGCAAAAGTTGAACTTAAAATATTAAATAGAATCATATAGAAGTCATTACAAAAAAAAAAAATTCAATTCCACTTAGGAGGCCCCCTAGTGGCCCCGGTGCCCTAAGCAGCCATTTAACTTGCTTGTGCCTTGCCTTGAACGAATACAACTTATGTTGGATATGAAACTGAAAATAAATACATAAACACTCATTTTAAACATAAGAGCCACTTAAGAGCTTCCTAATATCACATCAGAGCTGCCCTTTCAAGTAAGCATTTCTGCTCCTACCCTTAAAAAACCTCCGTCCCTAAAAGTACAGTCATGGGCAATTTAAATAAAACCCCAAAAATATAATAAAACAGCACAAGTAGATTTCAAATTAATTTTACAGTTTAAATGGGTCATTAATAAATTTTTAATTATTTATTAAAATACGAGAGAAATGTTTGCTGGGTAGCCATGTGATGTACCAAAACAACGGCACCAATTTGTCAAAATAACAGCAATCAAAATGTCGAAAAGGCAGTCCAATTTACTTTCATAAAAAAAAAAAAAAAGTATTCTCATTGTACAACTAAACAACCAAGAGTTGAAACACATGAAGGCAGTGGCAATGGATATAGTACTTGAAGCATGTGTGTGCGTGTGTGTGTGTGTGGGGGGTGCTCTATTCACACAAGGAGAGCTGTTGGTCAGGCTCCTTCTTGTTGCTCTCATAGTTATTGAATCAAGTGTTTACCTATGTAGGTAAACAGATGTTTATCAACCTGTTAAACTACATCAGAATGCAGGAATTGGCATCTACTTTATTAAAAACTGTATGGGGGAGGACCCCCAGACAAACCCCCACCCACCAGCTATTTGCGTTCTGGCATTGTATGGTTTACAAATTAAGCACCAAGTCTACGCAACAAAAAAGAAAAATAAATACAAATTGAGATAAATATGTCTGTAAAATTGTCCAAGTTATAGCCATTTTTGTGTTTTTAAGGTTGGTTGGCAGCTTTCATCAGGTTGACTCCATAAGTTAATCATTCATCTAATGATCCATGTTTCATTACAACTCATTCAGGGGTTTATGAGATATTTTAGTAACAGACAAACAAACAGACATGGACAAAAACATCTGCCTTTTATCGTTTAGCAGAAAGTGGTTATTAAAAAGCAAACAAGAAAAAAAAGTTTCTTGTGACTGAACTTGAACATTTTAATGAACACACTGTGTGAAATGTCCCATGAAGAGTTTAACACTAAAAAGGTGTGTTTTGTAATAAAATAAACATCTGGGATTGTTGGGTAAAATTAACTTCTAAAATTCAAGCTCAGCAGAAGTTTATTTTTATTTAGCAACTTTAGACGTGTAAATATTGCCTCTCAGCAGCTATGGAATCAGTTTGAAAGTTCTCTGAGGTCATTGCAAAGCAAGTCGAACACCAGGAACCTTTCGGTTGTCACCATTAAACACAGCTGTGATTTTACTGACACTTTTATTCTGACTGCTGTTGCACTAAAACACCATAAAAGAATAATAATCATTTTAATTGAACTGTCACCATCAGTAAGTTCAGAATGAATTAAGTCTCATGCTTCAACTTTACAACTCAGTGATCTGTCTGCACACTGATCACTTCTGTTAATATATCTCGAGTTATTATATTTCAGCACAACCATAAAAAGCTCGTTTTAGGATCATTTTTCATTAGTTTTTACCATAAAAAAAATTACAACAATAAAAGGAATCTAACATCAAAGACCAACCAGTTTGGTGGTGATAAGATGGTTTCTGGAGTCTGCCCTCTCCCCCGTTGATTCCTCTGAGGCAGCCATGGCCAGAGTGGTTCAAAACATCAAAGTTCATGCTCAATAATCCAGGTAAAAAATCTAACAATGTCAGATCCTCTGGATGATTTATTTGGGTTGAAACGTCTCGTCCTTCATCCAAAGGACTTCATCAGTCTGAGGAGCCACAACAATGTCAGTCCCATAAGTGGCTTACTCGCATAGTGGGCCAACCAGTTTGATGGTGACAACATGGTTTCTTATCATCCTTAGGATGAAAGATGAAACGTTAAAAAAAAAAAAAAAAAAATCCAGAAGACCTGACTTAACTTTGTTGGATTTTTTACCTGGATTATTTATTGAGCATGAACTTTTATGTTTTGAACTACTTTGGTACTTCAGAGGAGTCGATGGGGGAGAGGGCGGACTCCAGAAACCATCATCATCAAACTGGTGGGACTGAGTTTGTTGTGGCTCCTCACACTGATGAAGTCCTTTGGATGAAGGACGAAACGTTTTAACAAAAAAAACCGTCCAGAGGACTTGACTTAAATTTGTTGGATAAATAATCAAAGTTTGAAAAGAAGGCTGTTCTTTGAAAAAGTTTAGAAATAAGTTTAAAACCGTTTACATAGCTTTTGAATTTTTGGATCTAGATTGGTTTTCTAAATAGCTGTGGGCTTTTCCTCAGTTATTCACTCATTAGTAACGCAAATAAAAGATCTGCAATTGATTCCAAATGGCAGCTTGCATTTGGAAGCTGTTAGTGTTTATCCTCAACACGTGATGAGAGTGAAACAGACCATCAGGAAGATACGGATGTTAAAGGTGGACAGCAGGGATAAAATGACCACCAACTCATCCACACAAGTCAGTAAGAACAGAAATGATCATTTAAGCCAACCACTCTGTTGGAGACTACCAAAAAACTACTTTGACAATACCACCAGAACCATACATCAAATACAACGGGCTGTATAAGTTTTATATTTTGACCAAAATGGTCAGATTTAGGAATAAATGCATTAGACTTTGTTTCTATATTACGGTAGATTATCTTGAACAAATACTAGCTGTGTTTGTTTTATTTGAGCAACAAAATGATTTGAATATTAATAAAAGACAAGGACAGATTTAAACTAGAGAAAATGCATTTCCTGTGAAAATGCAGTGTGAATGCTTATTGCAGAAGAACTTGTTGAAAAATTGCTGAAGTTAGCTAAAAAAAAAACATGCTGAATTGTAGCTGAAATGGAAGAACAAGCCTAAATTAGCAGAAGAAAGCAGAAATAACATATCTGCTGAATTAGGTTTAAATAATCAGAAATGAGAACAAAATTAGGAAATTTGCTTAAAAAAAAGGCTGAAATTAGCAAAAATTGCTGAACAGTAGCTGAAAAGGCAGAAATAAGTTTAACAGGAGAAAGTGGAAAGAGCTGAAATGAGTTTTAAAAATGTAGAATTAGTTGAAAAAGCTAAAATGAGCATAAAACTGCTAAATAGTAGCTTGAATAGCAGAAAAAGTTGAAACTTGCCAAAATCAGCTGAAAGGAACATTAAAAGCTGAAATTAGCAGAAAGAAGTTAGAAGAAGCACAAAAACGTTGAAGTTAGCAGAAATTACCAGAAAGCAGCACAAAACAACTGAAAAAAAAACAGCTGAAAGTAGCTGAAAGTAGCTGAAAAATGTCACAATTTGCACAAGGAAGCTGAAAGAAGCTGAAGCAGAACAAAATGTGAAAGGAGCAGCAAAAGGTTGTAAAAAGATCTAAAGATATGAAGGATGTAAAATGAGCTCAATTCTTTTTCTTTGAGGGAAAAAGTGGCAGAAAAGGCTAAATATTTCAAAAAGCTAAAGTTGCACAGATACCAAAAGTCGTAGCAGGATTGTCCTGAAAGAGCTGAACGTTTTGACAAAATGTGTTGAAATAGCACAAAAACTGTGGAACGAGAAAGATGCTGAAAAGCGTACAGAAGAAACATGGATCACAGTAGAGTGCATGCTTCAGTGTAGAAGAAGTTTAAGAGCTTCTTCTCCTCTCTTGTCCTCGTTGTAGCGATGCCGTTTGATCTGTGATTATTTTTTCTTTTTCACACCATTTCTGCAACTTACTGTTCTTTAAGAATGAATGTCAGGGCAGACGTTGTTGTTTAACTTCCTTTGGTTGTATTTTAAGCCAAGCAGAATCAAATGATGTGTGAAGAAGACACTTTTCATGGGAACAAAGACCAGAAAGAAAGTGGAAGTTGAAGTAGCACCATAGTCACAGTTGTAGTACTCATCACCTCGTAGTTAAATTTAAAGTTTTGTCAAGATGACCAGGCGAAGGAAAGACCAGCTTTGTTAAAACTACATCCGTCACATAAAACCTGATGAGACGTTACTTAAATCAGTTTCACTGCAGCAACTTCTGGACAATAACTACTAACGTGAACAAAACACAATCAGCTTGTACAAGAAGAATTAGGGAAAACTCATAACCTAAAGTAAACATAATCTATAAAGCACAGTTTACTGTGATGTGAGAGAACAGCTGTATCGGTTTAAAAGTAAATAGAGGAATAGAAAGATACCTTTAATTTATTCTTCCGGCCCACCATCTGTCCATCATCTCTGGAGTCCATGTACCTACGGAGGTTCTGATGGAAATTCTTCAGTCCGTAGTAAAAAAACACATCTCCCTGAAAGAACGAACCCGGATGCACATCTTTATCTCATGTGACGTGGACTTTGAGCTTTACAGCTCGGAGGACAACTAGCTGTCCTAATGAACGAAGCTTGCTGAAAGTTGTGTGAGAAACAAACTTCCAAACCCAGACGCCGTCACAGCGCCGCACGCTCCAAAACATGAAATTACCTTAAACGCTTTGCTGATGGAAAAGTGCACCTGGCACCTGCAGGGCTCTCCGGCAAAGCTCACGTTTTTACGCATCTGAAAACATTCAGCACAAGTTCCACGTTCTGTGTAGTCCAGCTGAAAAGACAGACAAGTGTGGATTAAAACTTTTTTTTTTAAAGCAACTTCCAGTCTGTCAGTCATTATTGCACACGAGGAGCTTTGCTCGCCTCGTCTCTCCAACACACACCCTTGTGTTATTTAGGTCTGGACATCAAAGTAAAAATCTGTTTGCGCTCACCTTTAGTTCCTGTGTGCTCTGCACGGTGAGCAGCAGCCACACTCCGAGCAGCATGCATATCAGAGCCATGAGGTAGAAGAAAGGCAGCACAGTGTTAGCGGTTAGCATCGGAGACCAAGCAGGTAGTCGCTGCTGTTTGAAAGCGGAGTTGTCCGGCCTCCGAGCCAAAGGCCCAGACTTGTCCTGCGCTCGGCCCATGAGCGGGGCCTTCGGCTGGTAGGGGAGAGGAGGAACCTGACAAACAGCTGAAGGTTCAAAGAGAAGCTGCTCTTTCTTCTTTTCCTGTTTTTTTGTCGGTAATATCACACTCGCACACCCTACTCTGCTTGCCAAGAGCTTTTCCCAGCAGGCTTTGCAGGGTGGAGACTGTTGGAGCGTGTTACTTATTAACCGCAGTATTTCACCTAACTACTCATTTCTGACTTTTTGTTACTTCCGTTTGTCTAAAAGATGGTTGCTCCTAACCACTTCCTTCCTTTCAGTTTCATCACCTCAAAAAACAAACTCAGAGAATTTTAAGTCGTTATTTTTGTTTGTTTTAAACTTTATCACAAGAATAACTGAATTACTGCCATTTCCTGGTGGACAGGTGAACTTCTGACCCGACGCTCTCAACAGGAGGAACTTTCTCAAACTTAAAGCCAACACACAAAATGATGTCCGTATTTTACTGAGACTGTTTATTCGATGCATCTCACTTCAACAGGCTGCTGGACGTCTAATGACAACAATGAGATATTTGTCTGACGCAAACTCTTAAAACTGTGAGGAAAAAAAACAGACACTGATCCAAAGGAAAAAAAAAGAGGCTCTTCTGTATGTAATAAGCAACAATAAGCTGTTGACGATTAAAGATTAACTGTTGACAGTGGACACAATAAACTCAATACGTTTGTTAAAAAAGTCCTATTTTGACTTTGTTGTCTCTGCAGGTCAGGACTCCTCTCTCCAGCAGCTTCATGAGGTCCACTTTGATCTAAAAGAAATGAGGAAATATGTGAACCGTTCAGTCAAAAACACAAGATGAAGTTCTCTAGTCGTGTTGTATAATGCAGTTTATCATTTATAATTTGAATAACCGAACCCATGAGCTCTTCCTACAGAATATTAAGATCATTGGTGGTAAAAACGTACAGAACAATTAAATTTACAGGATTAGTGTTGCAAGTTTTTACATTTGTCCATCACTATCTTAAGTTTTATTTGGAGCACTTTCAATTATACACAATGAGGTACCACTTTACAATAAGGCTCCCCTTTTAGATGACTAATAGTTTATAGATACATTATTAATTCCTCTATTAACGCATCATAAATCATTAATAACTGCTTATTATGCATTAATTAAGGGTGACAAAAAAATTGACCAGTTTGTTGCCAAATAGTGAACCAAATCTGTTCACCTATACATTTAATCTACAGTTGTTATATTAAACATTTCAGACTAAATTATTTAACATTAGTTGTAGATACTTAGTGATAAAGTAGGTTTACAAATGCTTATTGTACTTACAAGGTAGTAACTTAGTGTGAAATGTTTAATAGAACAACTCTAGATGAAATATATAGGTGCACAGATTTGGCTCATTATTTGGCAACAAACACATCAGTTTTGTCTCTGTCACCCTTAATTAATGCATAATAAACTATTATTTTTTATAAAGTGTTTTTAGAGGAATACAAAACGTATCTATAAACTATTTATTAGCCATCTATAAGGGGAGCAGTACTGTAAAGTGTTAATAATAATAATTCTATTCCAGACCCCTCAAAATTACATTTATTCCAGCATATTGGTTTTGCACTTGTATTTTAAGAACGTTATTTTATCATTACTACTATTATGACTTTTGCATTGATTTACAATGGCTAGTATATGAATATTAAGATATTTCTAAATTCACAAAAAATAAAAAGCAACAACAGTAATGAGGGAGAAAACGTCATTAACTCCAGGACCAGTGATCCCCAGTTTGGGGTCTGAGGTCGATTATTATGAGCTTAAAACATTGTGTCAAATGTTGATTTAAATTAGTTTAATTTATGTAAAAGTTTGAAACATACAGGATTAAATTAAGTGATGACACACTCTATTTCTTGTTTTCTAACTAAACAAACTCTTAAATAAAATTAGTGTCTGATGAGTTGAGGTGATGAAAGAAATGTCCGATTATGTGGTTGAAAGAGTCAAAGTGAAGAAATAATAATTCAAACATTTCTAAACAAGTTGGCATTGCAACATCATCTCAGTTGAAAGTGCTTGCAGCTTCTTCCTCCAGCAGGGGGCAGGAGCTCACCTCAGGAACATCCACCATCCGCCTGAGTTTCTGATCCCTCCAGTTCCAGTCCAGAACCAGGTACCTCAGTGCCTGCAAGGTCAGACCCTCTGTGGAAACAACGTTGGAGTGAGAAAACCCTGGGAATCTCAGAAGTGAAATAAACTCACGACCACGGGTACCTCTCTCAATGAGAGCGCTGATCCTGCCAGGTGTCCCCACCCCGACGTGCGTGACGCCTTTCTGCAGCAGCTTCACCTGCTCCTCAATCTTTGTGAACAAACCAACAGAATCAGCTGTTCTGCTAGAACTACTACAGTTTTAATTGAGTCGTTATGATCAAGCTCTACCTTGATGTGTTTGGCAAAAAGTTTCACAACTTTTGCTTCACCTTTGAAGGCAGTCAGCTGTCTGCAAACGAAACAAGACGGTTATAACTTCCGTTAAATCAAAGACAGTCAAACATCACAGGGTCAGCGCTTACTTGATGAGCTCGATGGTGCGAAGAGCGGAGCTACAGACGATGAGGACAACCACTGAGCTCTTCTCTGTGTGCTGCTTTTGTATCTTTGTCCACTTGGGACAAACTTGGAGAACAAAAAGGCAATTAAAGTCAAACCTGTGAGTGTGGATGTCAACACCCGACAGGGTCAGAACTTCGCTCACCGTGTTTCAGATAAGAAGAGAGGCTGTGCGTCAGGTCATTACTGGACAGGAAACTGGAGTCTGGAAGAAATGAAAGGCCGTGGTGACCTCGGTGACTCAGTGGCTCGGCGGATATTGACTGAACTTGCGAGTTAAACGGGGAGAAGCTTCGACTCACTCTGCAGTTTGAGCTCCTCCTGCTCGATCACGGAGCGCTTGTCTGAGAAGTAATGTGTAATCACCTCCTGCAGGTCGGACGGACAGCCCGGCTTCAGCACCGAGGCAGCCAAGACGTCTGTAATTGTCTTCTTTTTCTTCTGAAAAACAAAGTATTTTCAAGAGGTATTCAAAACAACCCAGCCCTAACTAGTTATAAAACACCTGTTCCTTGTTATAACAGCAGGGGGCGCCACACTCACCTTTCTCTTCTTTTTAGGTTTGTCTGACTGGAGATCATTTGGCTCTTTCTGTTAAGAAATTAGGCACTTTTGGTTAAAAACAAGACCCAAACAGCATACATTTCAGGCAAAATATAACAATAATATACAATAAATCAATTGAAATGCAAACATATAACAGATTTTCCATAAAACAGTGTAGTTTCCGAACTTTTTGAACGCCTAAACGTGACCCGTTCTGATCAAACGAATCAGAATGAGCACAGCTGCAGTGCAAGGTCACTTAAAATGTTGATTTTCACTGTAATTAGGATGTGTATGAAAACAAAATCCCACAAAGACATTATTTATAGGGATGCACGATATTATCGGCATGGTATCAGTATCGGCCGATATTAGTGTTCAAGTGTAATATCAGACATTCCATTAAAAAAACTCACCGATATAAAATACACTGTTTTTGCCTGCAGTGGCAGCACAACATGCTGACGTCACACACGCCTACCTGATCTCACGGCGGAGAGGAAAATTCAAAATGTCGGCGGTGTGGAAGTTTTATTTTTCGTTGGCGAGGATGTCGGATTCCTAAGATTTATGGACTACGTTGAGCGTCGCTACATCGTCCCCAGTAGGAGATATTTTTCCAACGTAGCCTTACCCGAGTTACAAGCTGTCATTGCCGACATCATTGAGAAGCTAATAGCCGATAGCACGACTTGTTGGGTGAGTTCTACCACAGACATTTGGACGTCGTGTTAGCCCCGTTAGCATGATTAGTCTTACGGCACAATGGATAGACAAAAACTTTGAACTTAAAAAGTCTGTCCTTCATGCACAGGAGTGCAGAGGATCCACACTGCAGCTATAGGAACCTGGAACAAGCCTCCACAGGTGAGACAGCATCGCAGGTGACTAATACTAATAAATAACATTTAACACTTTTCATTTAATATAAGTTAAAGTGCTACGCATAAAATATGGCAGTTACTGAATATAATATGTCACCAGCTCTTACAGCTGTTACACAATTTTTGTACCAAATAAGCCTAAATAAGAGGCCTGACAAAGGAACGTAAATAAAAGATCGGTATTGTTTATCGGACGAATAAATTTTAACATATCGGATATCAGCCACAAATCCAGTATCGTGCATCCCAAATTATTTATCAATCCCAGTAACTAAAACAACATATAATCTTCCTAATCTACCTTTCAATCAAGTCTTCAGAAACAATCTTTCAAAACTGACCATTCCTTCAAATAATATTTGGTGTCGTTGTTAAGCTTGTAGATTCCCGATAACATTATTCTTAGAACATTAAAAATAAAGTTTTCAAACCAGCACAAAAAAAACAACAAAAAAACTAGCTCGTAGTCAGATGATAAATATAACAAACTATATGTGATTTTGAAGCATTTCATAAGTAGAATTTGAAAGTATTAATAAGCTATTATTGAAAAATTACTCATTGTGACTCATGTTCGCAGCACAGGTCATAAATGTTTAGAAGTAAATTGACATATATTTTTGTTACAAACAACAAATAAATAAAAAAGGTCAAAGCTGGTAATTTTTATGTGTGTGATGTTGATACATAATTTCAATTCAGCTTTAATTCTGTAGTAATTATGTTTTATTAGTAATGTATCAATAAAATGTAATAAAAAAGAACCCCACTAATATAAATTTTCTCTAGTAGTAAAATTTACTGATTTTATAGTTAAACATGAATACAGAGTGCATATTTTTCACTTTTACTTAATACATTTCCCATATCAATCAAGAAGGCACAACCTGGGCATTATCCTTTTTCTTCTTGGCTTTGTTGGTTTTCTCCGTTACTCTTTTCCTCTTTTCTGGTTTAGTTCTCTTTGTTTCTTCTACTGAGGGCTTCTCTTGTTCCGTTTCCTCCTCTGTCCCAGATTCATCTGCAAAAAGGAGAGAAAAACAGAAGAAAATTTATTAGAAAAAACTTCAAAAGTTTAATGTGTACACATACAAACTTGACTTAGATCAGTGCTGAGAGAGAGTGATGGCAAGAAAAAGGAATCCATAGAATAAGAGTGCTTTCAGCTACATTTAATGTATGAATAGGCCGGTCACGATAATAAATTTTGCTGGGCAATTAATTGTCTCAGAAATTATTGCGATAAACGATAATATTGTTTGAAATTTGACAACAATTAGTAATTATTGTCAAATTTAAGAAGAAATGTTGGTTAATTTGTTTTGAGTGTAGTACCTTTTTTGACCACCGGATTGCAGTATAAGATTATTTGAACCAAAGGATGGATAGTGAGGGAGCGAGCAGCATGTCTTTAAGAAAAATGGGAGGGAGGCCCGTTGACGTGACATGGGCTGTCTCTCCTTCATTTTTTAGGTTCTCAAAATGGCAGACACTTGGTGTGGTTTGAGCACTTTAGCATAGCATTTTTCACACCAAGCTTTAAAAAAAAAAAAAAAATCAGTAAACAAGTTCTCAGCTTCTTTTTGCAGAAAAAAAAAACAACTTTTTGCACAAAGGGATGGGTTTTAACCATGAATTTTGGAGCTTCGACAAGACTGAGTTATTTCCCCGAGGTTGATATGTTAGCTTAGCTCGTAGCTTAGCTTCTCAGCTTTGCTGCTTTTAATGATTCAAAAACGCGATTTTAGATGGTTAAAATGGATTTTAAAGAGAAAAGAGAAAGGGAGGGGTCAGTGAAGAGCACCAGAGTTGAGCTTTTTGTCATCCAGTGTCTTCAGTAGAAAGACAAAGACACGAAGAAACAATAAAGCTGATAAATGAAAATGAGGTAGATAATTTTCATTTATCAAGCAAGTAATTGATTTATTGTTTATCATGAGTGATAAATAGAGATGAACTACAACTAAAATAAATAAAATGTAAAGAAAAGTGCTAAAATAAGGCAACACCATCATTATTTTTCTAAACCCTGAAAAAATCATTAAGGACATATATTTATTTTAAATTTGAAACCAGACATTAGTGTTCCCCAGTCAGAAATAACCAAATGTTACTTCAGGTAACAATGTAGCAGATCTCAACCCAAGCATCTGGTTATATTTAGCCTCCCTGTTGCTACCCTTTTCACTACATTCCTCTCGTCTAACACTATGAGGTCATGCTCAGACCCTTTACTGTTGCTCGGTGAAAAGCTTTAGGACAGATCCAAAGCTGAAGTCAACTGTAAAGTTTTGGGTTTAACTGCAGTTGTCTTCCTGGAAGTTCCTCGAGAAAAAAAAAAAGTTAATTTTACTTGTGTGCTATTTTCCTACGATATCAAATAACAGACCGGCTCCCCTTTTCTTTCAGTTAATGAACAAAATCAACAATTATCAAGAACCAACCAATTTACCATCTCCTAACTATTTAAGTATTTGAGTTATGATAAAATATGTTTGTGCTTGGCGAGATAAAATCTGATTTCAGTCAAACTGATCTCTTTGCCATATGCTAATTAGAAGGATATGGGATGGACTATAACATTAAATGTTAAAAGAACACAACTGCTAAAACATGATGCTTTTTCCTCTTTAAATGGTTCTGGGCAGCAACTGTTGGAGACAATATGCAAACGTTCACAATGACGTCTCCAAAATGCTTCAAAACATTTCTCAATTTCCTCAAGTGAGTTGCAGAGGCTTTCAAGCTTGAATTATGAACGTGCACAAAAATGTTCCTAAGTGTCCTCTTACAATAGTTGCTGGTGGTGCAAACGCTTCTCAATTTAGTTTTCATAAATCTTAAATGGGTGGAGTTATGTTTGAAAACCTGAATGGGAGTTCTCCCATGACTGAAAACATGCGAGGCTACAATCCTGAATGTCCATGCCAAAAAATGTCACAGATGATAAGTACCTCGCGGTTCGACTGTCACAGACTCGCTCTTTCACAGATTTTTTTTTAACGATTTTCATCTTGAATATTACTCACATGATTGGGACAGTACAGGATAAAAAGTTAACGAAAAAACTTTGGACAGGCGCCGCCATTTTGTAGTTTTCTTTCAATAAGCCTACACTGTAACGCCAGTTAAAAGAACTACACTACCCAGAAGACTGATCTGATCCAAACCTGCCTAAAAAGTTTGGTCTTTGGCGCTTAGTGGATGCAGAGAGCCGTACGGAACCAACCAGGAATTGGACCAGAACTACTTCCAGCCTCATCGGTCAATCTGAGTGCTCTTTGCCAACCATGGGAACCTCTCAAGTGGGGAAGTGTTGTTTGGAGGTCCGGTGTCTCCTCAGGAGCTCACCCGGACTTTTTTCATCTGGATCCTTCTCAATTATTTGGACTCGATCAGGACCATTGTGTGATTTTGTGTTGACTAGTCGAAGGTCCAGCTCTCTCAAAAAAGAGTCTGGTGCTCTACAGATGCAGAGAGCTGATGAGAACTGGAACAGAACTGGACCAAGGCTGGTGTGTACCCATCCAAAATTTTGCAGTAGCTACTGGACAGTACATATACGCATGTTGTTAAAATGACGTAGGTTTAAGAGTTTAGAACATTGCAAGTGTGTGGGAAGGGTTTATAAAACCTTAAAATATATATACATACTAAAATAAATATAGCGTTCCTACATCACGGTTTTTCACCTATCACGGTGTATAATCGAGGGAGTACTGTAACACAAGAGTACTACAATACAAGAGTACTGTACAATGCACATTATACACCCGTCGATAAACTCTGAAACAATAATCTATAGCAATGGGCCAGACAAGCAAAGACCTTGTATAACCTTTTACCTAGGTTTATTACCATGACCTTGGATTGCACACATTCAGATTTCAGTGAGACTGCAATGAAATGGTTGCTCATTTTCTAACACATTTGAGTTGCTACCTAGTCAACAGTTGTAGCCTTGTGATCCTAAACAACCAGACTGTATTGGGTTCCAAGGCCCAGTAAGCTGCATCTTAAACTAGAGGTTTAATTTCTTAGCAGCCCAAATCATTCAGTAACACAAAAATAAATCATGCAGTGTATAGTTAAAACTTGTAAAATGCTGTTTATACAGAAACTTGCTGTTTATGGTTTAAATCTCCTCATTATTGCTGAACTGCTTTACTTGTGCATTATTTACAGGTAACAGAATCTATTTCTCACCCGTCTTGACAGCCTTAAAAAACACAACTGGTTTTCATCTGAAAAGGAACTCTATTTATCTTGCATGTGAATGTAAGATGCTTCTACTGCCGAGCTTATGTAATGTGGTTGAGAAAATTGAGCGTATCACTGATCTGCCACAGCGGACCAACGCTCCAAGCCAAGAGCTCTACCCAAAAGGCAAGCCACACAATAACATGTGACGCAAATTTTCTGCCATGTCCTCCAATTTACCATCTCCAAATCGATTCTGCAAGGTCTTTTTTATTGCGTGCTTCTTCTTGAGAGCTATTTTGTACCACTGTTCTTTGGGGCAATTTAAGTCACGACTCATACAGAAATAATGAATGCAGAATTCTGCAATACCCCAACCTCTAAATATTTGGCTTTTATTCAACCATTCCTTATTGCTACCTCATTTAACATTGAATAATTGGCCATTAATGTTGTTACAATAATCCATCATTCCACATGCTCCTTTTGCTTAAAAACCACACCCTCATTGGTCAAGCAAATACTTTTATCCTCTCCCTCTGAGTCTGGATCTTATTCTCATGGTGAACAGCTGAAGGGAAAATTGCCATTGACCAAAGAAGAGACTGGGAAGTGTCTAATTACTGAGGTACGGAGGACTTCAAGCCATGATGCTGGTATTTAACAAAGAATAGAAATCCATCTCTCTCTCTATAAAACAAGGATCTACTGTTCTGATAGAAGGTAAGACTTGTTACCACTGGTAATGCCTGTTTGTTAACTAATAAACTTATATGAATGTCATTAAATCAATATACAAGTAGCTTTAAGAGACATACAAGTAAAGACTGTGCATCTTATATTTAAGGGTTTCTTCTTTATATTGATTTGTATTTATTATACTGAGGAATGTATTTTATTTTAATTTTTGTTTAACTGAACAAACCCATACAGTTGACTGACATTTTAAATGTGACTTTCCAATAATCAAGTGCCACAGTTTAGGTGCCCGAGTTGGTAACTTTAAACGAAACCACCTGACACTGGTGTTCTGTGTTCAATGAGGTGTGAAGTTCTCAACAATAACCCTGTAGGCGCAGAAGTTAACTAAATGTTTAAATGAGTTTAAGGTGCTGATACGGCAGCCAGGCTGACTCTTTAAATACATTTCACCACTGACACGGGTGAGTACTTTAAAGAGTGGCTGGCTCAGGATTTATTTTATATACAGGTCCTTCTCAAAAAATTAGCATATTGTGATAAAGGTCATTATTTTCCATAATGTAATGATAAAAATGAAACTTTCATATATTTCAGATTCATTGCACACCAACTGAAATATTTCAGGTCTTTAATTGTTTTAATACTGATGATTATGGCATACAGCTCATGAAAACCCAAAATGCCTGTCCCAAAAAATTAGCATATTTCATCCCACCAATGAAAGACAAGTGTTTTTAATACAAAAAACGCCAACCTTCAAATAATCATGTTCAGTTATGCACTCAATACTTGGTCGGGAATCCTTTTGCATGAATGACTGCTTCAATGCGGCGTGGCATGGAGGCAATCAGCCTGTGGCACTGCTGAGGTGTTATGGAGGCCCAGGATGCTTCGATAGCGGCCTTAAGCTCATCCAGAGTGTTGGGTCTTGCGTCTCTCAACTTTCTCTTCACAATATCCCACAGGTTCTCTATGGGGTTCAGGTCAGGAGAGTTGGCAGGCCAATTGAGCACAGTAATACCATGGTCAGTAAACCATTTACCAGTGGTTTTGGCACTGTGAGCAGGTGCCAGGTCGTGCTGAAAAATGAAATCATCTCCATAAAGCTTTTCAGCAGATGGAAGCATGAAGT